ACAGAACGAGATTACACCAGCTTCTGAACCATAATACAAGGGTATAGGGTTTGCATTAGAAAATACAGACACGGGTTTCTCTTAAAACTGTGTCGTATGCAAAGGACGAGCTTTGGATGCAGTGTCCCAATTTTAGCCCTGCCTTTGTGGCTAAAAATAAGCAGTAATCTTAATAAGGGCAATAAACAAATGGTTGCCAGAATCAGAAGTTGCCCAAACTCTTTCCTAATATGAATTCCCTTGATATATATGGTATTTGCATCAGGACTGACACTGGTTAGTTTTCCTCACATATCTTCTCCCCTCGTTAGTGCCATTTGCTGGGGGGGTGCCAGCACTGCTGGGACTGGGTGCCCTTGCCTGAGCCCAGAGCCCTCCGCTCCCCCTCGTCTCAGCAGGAGCGAGGCAGAAGCCACTTAATGTCATCAGCAAGCCTCCAGCTTGCCAAATTTCTGCTCTTCCTCCTCCACCTTCATCTGCTTACATTTCATAGAGGTTCTGGCCACCTCATGTTGTATTTCATGGCAGTAAAATGCAGGAGCTATCTCCAGTCTGACTTCCCTCCCATGCTCCCCAGTGATACATGTACAGGAGAGGGGTTTTTAACCCAGAGCCACCCACTCCTGGAGCGGTGACCGACGGCTGCTCTCTCTCTCTAGCTGGCCAAGACCTACTCATACGCCCATGGCTGGATGCACCGTGGCTGGAACTGCGGAGACTACTTTGCCGATGGCATCACGAATGGGGCATCCTGGTACTCGCTCAGCAAAGGTAGAGGCTGTGCACAAAGGTGTTGAGCTGACGAGAGATGAAGGGATACATGGCAGACCTCAGGATAGGATGGGTTGGGGAAGGGCTGTGGAGACAGCACTGTCCTGTTACTAGACACCATTCTGGTGTCTGCGTCTTAGACGAGGAAATGGCTTGGGAAGACTGGAAGAGGCTTGGGAAAGAGCCACAAAAATAGCCAAGGTCTGCAGAGACTGGCTGTGTGCTGCTGGAAGAAGGAAGTATTATTCTGTTAGTTTATTTGAAAATGCTATGGCATAACTCCATCAAGACCCGAAACTGTGACCAAAGGGAAGGCATTTTCCATAACTGCTGGCTCCTGAAGAATCTGATTTTAAAAGATACAATGAAGAGACTGAAAAATCAGCAAATTAGGCTAGAAAAAAGATTGAAGAGGAACTGGAAAGAGATATATAGCCCCTGTGGTACCCAACCACCCTGAGCTTCTGAAGGCAGAATGGTGAATGATCCATCTGAAGGAGAGGGTCGGGCAGCCACAGGGGAAGGGGCTGTGTGAGAGGAGGAGGCTGTACCTACAGAGAAAAGAGGGAGAGCAAGACAATTCTGGTAGAAGATAGACAAGGGCCAGGACATCTGGGACATGGGAGTGGGGAGGGAAGGGGGCCTTGCATTCCCCTGGCCATGGGCTTTTCTCTTCCAGGCATGCAGGATTTCAATTATCTCTACACCAACTGCTTTGAAATCACCCTGGAGCTGAGCTGCAATAAGTTCCCCCCCGAGGAGGACCTGGAGAGGCAGTGGATGGCCAACCGGGAGGCACTTGTTGCTTTCATTGAAGAGGTAAGGGGGCAGTCCTGGGACCTGCACCCTTCTCCTGCAGGCCCCCATGGGCCCCAGCCCTGATGGTAGGGGACCAATAGGACCTGGGAGCACAGGGCTTGAAGGGAGGTGGTCATGGAGCTCACTAGGTGCTCTATTTGGTGGGCTTTGGAGACGTTGTGTCCTAGACTGGCTCTGCTGGGAGAACTAGGAGAACCAAGGATATGGGGCAAGTTGGGGCTGTCCCCAGAGCTCTGCCCTCCTCCAGTGCCCAGCAAGGGAAGGTCCTTCTTGAGCAAAGGGAGGTCCTTGTCCCAGCAGTCTGTCTCCCTCCCTGCAGGTTCACCAGGGCATCAAAGGGATGGTGTCAGACGAGAACAACAACGGTATTGCAGGAGCAGTGATTTCTGTCCAGGGAATCAGCCATGACGTCACCTCTGGTGGGTTGTTACTCCCCTTGCATGCTCTCCTTTTTGGATGCAGCCTCTTGGAGGCTATCTAGATATGTGGGAGGGGGTTAGCAGGTGAGGCCAGCATGGTTTGCTTCCGAAAAACACTAGCTGGAAGAAATGTGCCTGTGCATGCTGAACCAGGGAGGGCTTAGGAAAGCAAGAGGTGAGAACTGGAATGCAAACCTTATTGTAACAGACTTCAGAAAGCCAGCCTCTGTTTTATCTGAGAGAGGGAAGAAAATACATTTGTATATAACCAAAGAGAAGATTGAGGGAATAATCTACTCAAGCATCTAAGTATCTATACAGAGCTCAAATAGATTATAGCAAAGGACACAATGGCAAAACAAAATGAAAGACCGAAAGTTCAAGCCAGACAAATTTAGGCTGAGAATGAAATACCACTTTGGTTTATCCAAGTTGTAGTGGTTTCTCCTTTGCTGACCAATTTTAACATCCTTTTCATAAACACCCTTCTCCAACGGGACCAGACATTATAGACTAGCTGCAGTAAATAGCTGATCCTCCAGTGCTTCAGAGGTCAGACTATGAAATTATCAAAACTCCTTCTGGCCATAGGTCTGTGATTCAGTAACACTAATATTTGGCATTTATTATGCCAACTTGCATAGGGAGAGTGTGCAAGAGGCCACAAAATCACAGTGGCACTGGCTGCAAGAGCCCTCTGATGTTCCTGTCCAACCTCCTGCTTGGAGCAGGATTGTCCCCAGCGTTGGTTCTGGTCAGCCATGGCTCCTTCCAGCCGATTCTCACTGACCTCTGGGATTTCACAGCCTCTCTGCTGACCTGTGCCAGGGCTGCATCACCTCTGAGGTGAAGCTGTGCTCCCTGATCCACCCCAAAGCTTCCAAGCTGCCTCTCCTTGTATTGCCTTGTATTCCCTACTGAGAGGAGTTTGGTTCCGTCCCCTTTGTTGCTGCCCTTCAAGTAGCTGCTGGCTGTGAGCAGATCCCCCTCTGCCCGCTGCCCCCCAGCCAGGCTGAGCCTGCCTGACTCCCCCAGCTCTCCCTGTAAAAAAAAACTGTGAGTCAGCAGTAGAACGGGACACGGTGTCCAAGTGCAGCCTCCTCGGGACTGAACAGAGGGAGAAAATGATCCCCTTTGACTTGCTGCCCCCCCTCCCCTCTTTTCCCTTGGAAGCCTCTGACTCTCGTGTCTCACTCATACCATCTAGCCCCACCTAAGCCAAAATAACACAGACTGCTATAACGATGAGTCAAATTTGCAATACCCGTCCAGTTCCATAGATGGGAATATACTCAAAATTGTTGAAGTAAACTGTAATGTGCTGTTGCCTCACTGTCCCTCACCACACCAGTACACAGTCCCTCAAAGCGCGCCTGGGGCTTCCTTATGCAGAGAGAATCAGGCAGGGGAGCAGCTGAGCTCATGAGCAATTAAAACCCTGCTGCTAATCCAAATGTGGCAAAATTGTGAATGACAGGAATTAGAGATTGTGTTATGGATAAGGAGTCAGACTGGAGGTGTGATTGCCCTTGCTGTCATCTGGCTGGTGAGCACACAGATTTGCAGCCTCCCTGCATGGGCACAGCCAGTGTTGCTGTACCGTCCCCTTTCGTTTGGCGTTTACTTGCAGACTGACCCCTGCTTCGTGGCACTGAGACATCACTTGCAGTCTATCAATGTGAATCCAGCCTGCAGATTTGGACGGAAGGCCAAAAATTGCCTGCGTTTTGAAGGCTACACATCCTCGAGGAAGTACTGTCAGCAAGACCTACTGGAATATTTTTTGCTCTGCTCCCCGTGCATCCTGAGTGTTTTCTCTTGCCAACTTGTGTTCCAGGTGATATGGGGGATTATTTCCGGCTGCTGCTGCCTGGCACCTACACAGTCACAGCCTCTGCAGAGAGGTACCAGTCCCAGACGCTGACAACAACAGTGGGCCCAGCTGCACCTTCGTTGGTGAGTCAGACTGCATAGTCACGCGGGTGTCTCAAAATGTCTTCGCCCCAGGGAGAAGGAAATGCAGCAGGAGATGTCTAGTGCAGCAGAGATGTCTAGTGAGCAGTAGAGAAGGGAGATGGGATGTAGAGCATTGCCAGTGGCTACAGGCTGTCTGCTTTGGCAGCCATAGGGCTCCCCACAGCTCACAGAGAGGGACAGGGTGAAGGCAATGCCATGTGCCTCTCGATTCCTTACTGAGGGCTTGCAGCTGCACTGGGCTGCTGTGCCAGCTCCTCTGTCCCTCTGCCTTTTGGCCATGGGGAGAGCTCCTGGCTGGCTGGGGCTGCTGCTCTTTAGCTCCATCCCCCTCACTCTCCAGGATGTGATGATGGGGAGTCAGCATCTGTTCCCTGAGGCTCCGTTATCCCCCTGGCTCTGTGAGTTTCAATGCTCTGCTGTCATCTGCATCTTGCCTGGAACCAAACACCTTATCAGACTCGTAGCAAGGGATTGAGGTCTGCCTTTCTGCCAAGAGCACCCAAGATGGGGACTGGGTGCGAACAAACAACAGCCTAGCACCTTTGAGAGATGAGTGAACCAGGTGTTCCTGCCAGCAGCATGGCCTCTACAGCACCCATCCAAGGACAGGCTGGACAACTAGAAATTGGTTATAAAAACAGTGTGTGGTGATCCCTATCCTGTGTGACATAGTGAGAGCACAGATGCAGCCTCCTTTAAGGACTGGCAAGGACTCCCCGGCTGCAGCATCCTGGTACATCATTTGCTTCACTGCGTGTACTGGTCAGGCTCTTCCATAAATACACTGCAGTGGTTCTCCCACCCTCCGCCTCTTCATCCCACCCTACCCAGCCTCTGAAGTTCTTCCAGAGCTGCCCTTTTCTCAAGATTAGAAACCTTCTAATTTTCGTCCTAAATTTATTTATGGTCAGTTTCTCCCTATTTGTTCTTTTGCCAACTTAGTGCTTTAAATAGCTCCTCTTCTTCCCTGGTATTTATCCCCTGATGCATTTATAGAAAGCTGCCGAGCCCAGTGTTAGCTTTGTTTTGCTAGGTTAAACACCCAGCTCTTTGGCTCTTCTTTGTAAAATACATTTTCCTTTTAAAATTACTGTAGAAGACTGATTTGTTCTCTGATGGTCTAATTTTGCAGATCTCCCCTCGGAGTAGCCCATTTCCCTCTGCCCCTGCCGCACCTGCCATATCCATCGTTCACCCCATCCCTCACCCAGGAAGCCCACACAGCCCCATTCCAGTTTCACCTTTCTGCATGGCCTCACCATTCCCTGTTTATCTGGGGCTGTGTCCTGTGTGGTCCTTGTCCCTCTTGTAACTGCTTGGATGGCTGTGGTGGATGGAGATTTCTTTCCTGTAATGTTTTTTTGCCTGGATCTACTAGAAGCACTAGTTGCTGAAAGACTGATTAAGCAGGGTTCAGCTAATGAGATGCAATTGAAAAAGGACTATCTGTCCTAAAGTATTCTGTGTATTATATATTCACAGAGATGCAAAGCAATGCTATTTCTCTACCCTCTGGTAAGAAAAGATGAAAGAGCACAGCTCAGTCCCCTGCCTTTCACAGCTCATCGTCCAAACCATCGTAGGACATCACATTGCTACAGCAGAAACTCTCTGCATAAGAAATGTAGCTGATTGTTTGAACATTTTCTTCAAGAAAAAAAGAAATATTTCCAGTTGATCTAAGCGCCGAGTTCCCATTTTATCGTAACACTGGCTGAGGCCCCTTATTGCTTATCTTGGCCCAAGAGTCAGCTTCGAAGGCTAGCAGCAGGGGCAGGTCCTGCAGACCCCTCAGACAGCCTACCACACACATGGTGTTACACAGTTCTTTTTGTTCTTCCTCAGGTGCATTTCCAGCTCAAACAAGATGTGGTAAGGAAGCCCCCGGACCGTAAAGCCTTAGGCCCACGCACAAACAACAAAGCCCTTCAGAAGAAGGTTGTGCCAAGAGCCACCCGCCGCGGAACCCAAAGATGAGAACATCTCACTTGGCTGAAAGCTGGGGGAAGCCGTTTATGCCAGGCCTGGCTGATGACTCCAGCCAGTGGACTTTCCGACAGTCCAGCATGACACTAGCCCAAGTTATTAGGTTATTAAACAAGGAAGTATTTAATCCCTGAGCTAATTGTGAAGTCATTCACAACAAAATGTGCCTGGGCTCCAGTTTTCCAGGCAGTGTGTCTGTAGCTGCTGAGCTCTTCTCCTGCACTCGCTCCATCTCAGACAGCTCTGCTCCGTTTACTCCTGCACTCAGTTGCTACAGTCCACATGAGATGCGCAGACACAGGTGCATACCAGGGAGAATGAGTCCAGGCCCTGGTCTTTGACTGCTGCACTCACAAGCTGGGCATGTAAATCCTGGCACTAGTGCTCTGTGTGCGAGTGCCACGCTTCTCCCTCAGGTAAGGACGCTTGCTGCCTGTAAGTCCTGAAGTTAGGGGGAGGTCAGGTTTAAAGCAGTCAGTGATCAGCTCTGAACACAGTTTGTCCCATGTGTAGCACAGCTATCGCTGGTTGGCAATGCAGCAAGTGGGAATGCAGCACTGGTGGTCCAAGGTCATCTCCTGGCTGATGGCACATTTATCTTGATGTGCAGATGGGAATTTCTGGTAGCTGGTTTGGATTATTTGTAGTCAGACAGGCTGAAACAATACATGCTGGCAAAAGCCAAGGATTATCCCATCTCCTTATGTCTTCAGACCCAAACCAGATGGCTCGCTGAAGGGTCTGTTCTAGCCAACAGAAACTGCTAGTCTGAGCACAGGAGCAACTAGGTGAGGTCTGACAGCTGGTGATGAGTAGGAGTGCAAGACAGGTGATTTCATGTTCCTTTCAGACAAATACCCTGAACCTTGGTCCTGTTCATGGCAAGCGTGAATGGCACAGCACAATCCATGTGAATTGTAATTGGGCTAGGGAAGACATGATCCATAGTTCAGTGAGGTGGGTTACCACAGGCCGGGCCTTAAAATGCTGCTTAGGCTATGTGGGCAGGTTTGGATTGGAAGCAAGAGTAGAAACAAAGCTGTTTATTTCCATGGTAAAAATATCTTATGCAGGCTAAAACCTTTCTAGCATTATTCATAGAAAATCATAGAATCATAGAATGGTTTGGCTTGGAAGGGACCTTAAAGATCATCTAGTTCCAAGCCCACTGCCATGAGCAGGGACACCTTCCACTAAAATAAATAACTCCTGAGGGACAAACAGTTCCACCCATGTGCCCCTGATTTCTTTTTCCTTGGCGGGTTATCCCGTTCTCCCCCATACAGCCCTCTGTTGCACTGCCTCTCTCCATGTCCCAAGCCTGTCCAAAAAGTGTCCTCAAGACATCCCCTTGCTCCTTTTGCAAACATGTCTTCACCTCTTGTGAGTAACCCCTTCCACCCTACCACATAGGTAATATTCTGCCTTTCATCCCTCACCATCACCTCCTCCTCCATCTCTGCTACAAGATGCTAGTGGCTTTAAGCCCTAGCAGCACACACACACTCTTCTAGCTCTGCCTGCTAACAGAAGCTGTTTCTCTGTCCTGCCTGTTCTTGGAAAGGCAGAGCAAACTGTCCCTTGCAGGCTATTTATATTTATTTATTATTTATACAGGCTATTGCAAAAATATGCCAGGAATATAGTGCGCTTAACCATGGCTGTCAGTGATTTTGGTCTGCAGAGGCCAGTGTGGGCTGGAGACACCAGCCAGTTCCACATTCACAACCAAAGATGAATTGAGATTCTCTGATTTTTTATCTTTTGGTGGCAGAAGAAAGTGAAAAAGGACAGTGAGTCTGAGATGTTCAAGCTCCTGTGTGCTTTAACACCTCTT